CTGAATGGGAAGCCTCGATGTGCAGATCCAAGTCCAAATTTGTTCAATGTGGGAACAGAAGAATTAAGGCTATCTGCTTCCAGGATTAGGTTCAGCAAAGCTTTGACCCAGACCTGTCCCTGTAACAGAGGCCCTGGAATGCTCTCCCTGCCAGGGCTGGTTCTTGGACCAGATCCCCAGATTTCTGTCTTGTTTGTTTTCCCAGGTGTGATGAGTACGTCACGCAGCTGGATGAGATGCAAAGGCAGCTAGCAGCTGCAGAGGATGAGAAGAAGACCCTAAACTCTCTGCTGCGCATGGCTATCCAGCAAAAACTTGCCCTCACCCAGCGACTGGAGGATTTAGAGTTCGACCATGAGCAGTCCCGACGCAGCAAAGGCAAGCTTGGAAAGAGCAAGATCGGCAGCCCTAAAGTAAGTGAGGAGGCATCAGCCACCGTGCCAACCATAGACACTTTCCTCCTGCATAGTCAGGGCCCACAGCAACCAAACTTACTGGTCAGCAGTGGCACTCAGAGGAAAAGGTATGCATGCAGTGATCTTTATGGTACAGTGCAGTGGCCAGACTTTCGTTAAAGTCTTTCACTGAATTGTAAACATTATATATTTTTTTTCTATTTTGACTGGGGAGAAGGAGGTGGGGAGGATATGACTACGGAATTCAAAGCCTGGCTACATGTGGTTCTAATCCACCTACTCACAATGTTATTTCCTCCTCCTTAATGCAGTTTTTTGAACTATATTCTGTTAGTGTCTCAGTGCATCTTGTATGTCTTTAATATTAGTGTGAATGTATTTTCTTTAACAAGTTTTTCCATAACAAGTTAAGGTTTTGCATATGGTAAAACGAGCATCTGAAATAAGAAAAAGGGAGTGTGTTGAATGAGCATTTCAGTGCTTAACGTAAAAGAAACAGCCTCTCTTTGTTAAGCTCTGATGCTCACTTTTTCTTCATCAGTGCAAAAAAAAAAATATGGATGTGTTCACTCAGATCAGTTTTTCTGCATATGGGCAAACAACTTTTGAAGGCGGATGGCTGCCGTTCATAACATAATGCAAATATTTTGCTGTTCAAGCAGTGAGTTCTCGTCTTGTCTTGTGACTGTCCTGCCAAAGCTCTATAGCTGGGGGGATCTCCATGGTTCTGATGACTTCTCTACTAGGGAAGTTCTAGATAATCATTCCCTTTTCCTGTATGTTCTAGTCACAATGCAAAAGATAAGAGAACATCCCAGGAGCCTTATATATGTCAACTCCAGGACGCTGAGGTAGAAGTCAACCTCATCTCCTCCTCCCCTAATATGAACAAGAATTTCCTACGCAGGCAAGGTGTCCTGCTGTGGAAATGACAAGGGGTGGCAACACTGGCTGATTTTTACCTGTTAAGCAAATTAACATGATGTTGTCATACATGAGGCTTTGAAAGGTAATTAAAGTAAAACTCTTTTGTTTCCATATGTATTTTTCTTGGATCTCCTGCAAGACTATTCTCACCTTCCCTTTGTGATCAGAGCCATCCCAGGACTTCAGGGACCTACCTACAGAAATTATTAAGAGCCCCCCCTCATCCCGCCTCCACAGAATCATATCTTCTGAGGGGTCCCCCTTCCATGAGTGAATTCATCCATGGGCACCGTCTCAGCAAGGAAAAAAGGTTAACCGTGGCCACACCAGGTAAACATTTTTTCCTTGGGTGCATGTGGTGCTGAGTGGTTAGCAGAGCAGGGGACCCTCCCAACACTGCACATGCAATCTAATTTGGGCACCTTATTGTGACATGAAAAGCAAAATGTCTTCTTCTGTGACACCTGTGGCAGGAGCTGACATTGTGCCAGCAGTGACCCAAACTGGTTCCAGATGCAGTGGGGAGAGTCCGGCCATATGCAGTAGGTGGGTGCAGCTCCCACTGCCATCCACAGAGGCTGCACCCCTGTGCCCTGGGCAGTACTTGGTGTGGTGGTTGTGTTAGTAGTCCCTACTGAAAACACAAACTGAACATAGAGGAGGAGTCAGACATGTGAGGACTGATGACAGAACAGCTAGCAATATACACAAGTCTGAGTGATAACCATCTCCTGCTCACACCTGAGTGTTTGATCAGGGTTCTCTAAAGTGTGATATTAAGCTCACAAAAGGTTTAGTTTAAATAAGGTGAGTCATGGAGTTCACCTTGTCAGGACGCTTTTGCTCTTCATTTCCTGCCAAACTGTAGTATCTGCCTAGAACAATGCCTAAAAAGGAAATGCAAACTGGAATACCATTTCAGAGGTGGTATCATGTTTCTCCTCCTGGCAGACAAACTAATTTTTTTTTCCCTTAGAAATCACTCTAGGGGAGGATCTGTGTTTGAGCAGAACTTTTGTCCTTTACATGAGCACGCTCTTTGTCTGGTGGTAAATTTTTTCAGTCTTTGTTTTGAAATTTGTTATACACAAAAGGCATAAGTAGAAGCTGTAAAAGTTAAACCCCAGAAAGCAGTTTCTGCTGAAGTAAATTTCTGTTCTGGAAAACTGAGTAATACCCCCTAATATGTTATATCTCAGTTAGTGCCAGCAATATCACAGCAGCCTTTGAATAATGCTATACAAGTAACACCTACACAGATGAAGAAATGACAGACAAATGTAGCACTGCAGAGAGCCTGAACAAGACATTCTATTAGAAATACTGCAGTCAGAAAACCAAACAGTGGCTCCTGGGGGGAAAAAAAAGAGGCAGGAGGAAGCAAAGACTTTAAAATTTATAAAGCAAATGATAATAATCTTTTAGCAATTCCTTTCTGTTCTTCTGCCAGTGCTCTAAAATATGCTGGTAATAGCCCCTTGACTTCAGAAGAAGCCTTTGTGAGCAGTTTTTTGTGATATGGAGAAGGCAGAAGTGTGCTAAGAAATGGAAGACCACGTGCTCTTTTTCTACCCTATAGGCAGGAATGAATTCCCTAAACATTGGCAGTGTCTCTTGTATTCTTTCCTGCTCATCCTATGACAGAATGAGGATCATTTTCTTTCTGACGGACACTTAACATACCCAAACATGGCAATCTTCCCATGTACAATTTACAAAACTTTTCTATTGTAATTGTACTTTTAATGAACAATTTACAAGAGAGTGTCAAGCCAAAGAGAACCGATTTTTAATCCAAGGACTTGCTCACCTTTGTGTGAGGAACCCTGACTGTGTGTTGAGCCATCTTCAGGTTGATGGCTGGGAAGAAGTCATGATTTTAAAAAGAAGAGTGCTTAACAAATAGGTGAACACAAACTGTTAGTACTAATGATAAAATAATGTGATCTTTGAATGTGGGACTCTGGCTGCTGACAGTGTCTTCATGCATTAATTTTTTTTTTTGCTGTTTTCATGAACCAGCATCTGATACCTCGTGAAATAGCACAGGCTCATGGACCACAGACTGAGAAACACTGATATATATAGCCTCTGACTTTTTGCATTAACAGAGGCCAAAGGACGAAGCAGCCTGAAAAGCAGAATCATTCAGAAAAGAACTTGCCCAGAGTCTCACCCAACGCTTAGGTACATCTCTACATATTCAGAGTATAAGGGTCTGAAGACAGTGTTACTGACTAATGTTTTAATTTTCCTTATGAATCTAAAACAGTCCCAGCTTTTAGAATGCAGTTCATCAGAATTTTTCTGCCCTCACATGGCCTTAGTCTCAAGCAGGCAACCTGTGATGCTGACAGGTTCAAAGAGATTATTTTTTTGAGCACTCAGATTCCAATATTAGTGGGGATTCATGTTAGAATCGGGTTGAGGATGAGGCAGAGAATTGTTCGACCTTAGTCTCACCATGCTTAACAGTTTCTGGAAAATTTCTTGTTACTGTTAACAGATCATTCCTTTGAATGATGCACCAAGTAGAATTTTTTTGCCATCTGTCTAATTATCTTTTTCCTGAAAGTAAGGAACAGTGAAGGATGTTATTCTACTGTTTTTATAGGGAATTTTTAAAAGCTTAATATCAGAAGGAGTTAGTTTCCCCCGAAGATTTGCAGAGCCAAGAAAATAATCAAGAGATGTAGCAACCACCACCTACTTCTTCATCACGTAAGTCACAAAAGAACAGTGTCCACACTCTAATGCTACAGAGCAAGGACAACTTGATTTAAGCTGTGTCTTCAATATTGGAGGAAGAAGGATGCAAGCCTAAATTAAATGCATTCAGGTTTTTTAAAGTGATGAAAAATTCCCACTCATGTGACAACTTCATCCATATGACGGGTGGGCTTCCCTGTCATTTCATTAGCTGCCAGCATTGGGAGGCTGCAAAGTAGTAGGCCAGCTCTGCCTGTCTTCTCGTTGCACCTTCTTCTAGGCTTCTTGCTTGGAAGAAGAAGCTGCCCTGGCCCCGGCTTTGACTGCTACTGGCTCCCTGGTAGATGAAAACTGGGATTGCCGTTTACTGCTTTCTTCAGAGGAAGATCCCAGTGTGGAAACTTACTAGGGAAGGCCAGCTGAATTAAAGAGATGGCTCTTTCTTACTTGGTTTTCTCTTGACTGCCACTCAACTTTAGATCATCATGTGTGTCCCTTTGACATTAAGCTGTGGCAGAATGACTTTCTAGTTGAACTAATGGCTTCTAATCACGGAGTCTAGAAATACCGCTCTAGTTCATTTCCAAAGTATCTTGTTTCATTTTCCCCAGGTAATAGTATGCATTTAGCTTTGCTGTGGTATTGCTGTACACTAAGCTGGAATGGCAATTTATGGATCATGTTTAGGCCTAAGATTTTATTCCTTCCTTTTACTCCTTTCCTTTTGTTATTTATGCATATTTTTACACGATATAATCTTTATTCTTCTGATAGACAGAACAAGCCAGTATGTGCCCAGCAGGCTTTCAGCCTTCTTTCGCATGTGGCTGTTTTCTTAAATATATGAAGGATTCAGGGCATATAAAATGGGTGAGGCTGAACTGGACAGCTGTACAGTGTGTAACACTGTATTAGAGGTGACCTTTCCTTTGCAGTTGCATTTGAACTCCTTCCAAAGTTTCATAAACAGGGCCTGAAAATGGAGTGACCAGATGCTTCTTGATATCCCACAGTCCCAAATACGAAATATATTTCCCTCGACTTCTTCAAGGAAAGAACGAGACAGAAAGTCTACCGTAGATGACCTGATTCCATTCTATCTACTGTCCACTATGCTAGCATGGAAATTCTCAAAGTTGAATTTAAAGTGCTCTAATTCTAGCTTAAAGGTAACTCAGATAAGATCCTTGTATGGGTGATGCAGCTGAAGTAAGAGGCTCTTGAGACAGAGAATCATGCCTGCAATGTTCAGCCTTACACAGGTGGCTGAAGGGTCAGCCACAATTAGCCTTATCTTCTCTCCTTCGTTGACGTGAAACCCAAACAAACTGTTGTAGGTACTTCTTTTCTGCGCTGTTTTC